GTTTCACTATGGTAATATTACAGATAAGGAATAAAATGCTTTTTCTGCAATCCAGAAAAAGAGACAATTACTAGTATTTATCCCATAATGACATTTGATGAATAGAGACTGCGTAAGACGTCGTTTCACCCACTGTCATACGTTACGAGTAAATACTTACTCCTACACGTCATAATGGAGTAATGATATACTCCGAAACGCTGTGTTACTCGTAATAAAGAAGCTGACATACATACTCTCTTCCTTATGCGTTTCACTCCTAAATGTCATTCAAATACCAGACAAACTTCCGTTGAACTTGATAAACCGACTGACGGGGCTGCATCGTGTGCTGACAGCTGTATCAGTCGAATGAAAAATATTTATTGACCCATATTGATGTCTACATTGAAATCTATATGCATTGCAGGTTGTATCGTCAAACATGAAAGTACTTGCACACTATTAGGAAACGTTATCAAAGTGACCCCGTGAATCAATTATATTGGGGTAAAGTCAGTTAATATAATCACAAACGTCTCCCAACATCAACTACTTTCAGAAAAGACTGACTTGAACAACATAAATAACAGATTAGAAATATTTACCTGGATCTACACCTTGTTCATTTTGAATCCGGGGTCCATTTTGTGTCTCCACGGCTAGGCAACAATGGGTCACGTGATGTCACCGCAGCTGACGTCATAATGAAAGTAGGGTTCATGTAAGGTGTTGGCTGCAAACATGTGATATAATGTGTTAGTCATATTGCTACGCTTTATCGTGCTGAATCTGCCAACCGTTCGAGTTACCGAATCGTACATATTACATATCACAATGGTTTGACAGTGAAGAGCAGCAGTACTAGTAATATCCGCATCAGCTGTAGTAGCAGTATAAGTAGCAGTAGCAGTAGTAGTAGCCGTAGCAGTAGTAGTAGCAGCAGTAGCAGTAGTAGTAGTAGCCGTAGCAGTAGTAGCAGTAGTAGTAGCAGTAACAGTAGCAGTAGCAGTAGTAGCAGTAGGAGCAGTAGTAGTAGTAGTAGCCGTAGCAGTAGTAGCAGCAGCAGTAGTAGTAGCAGTAGCAGCAGTAGTAGTGACAGTAGCAACAGCAGAAGCAGCAGTAGTAATTTCAGTATGAGAAGTAGCAGTAACGGTAGCAACAGTAGTAGCAGAAGCAGCAGTAGCTTCAGCAACAGCAGTAGCAGCAGTAGTAGCAGTAAAAGTAGCAGCAGTAGTAGTAGCAACAGTAGTAGCAGTAGTAATATCAGTATCAGCGGTAGTAGCAGTAGTGCAGTAGCGATAGTAACAGCAACGCCAGGTTTAGTAGCACTAGCTGTAGCAAAATAGTAACAGTAGTAGCAGTAATAGTGGTAGTAGTAGTAGTGGTAGCAACAGTAGTAATAGTAGTAGTAGTAGTAGTAGTAGTAGTAGCAGTAGTAATAATATTTGTAATAGTAGTAGTAGTGGTGGTGGTAGTAGTAGTAGTAGTAGCAGTAGTAGTAGTAATAACAGTAGTAGTAATACTAGTAGTAGTAGTAGTAGTAGTGAAGGTAGTAGTAGTAGTAGTTGGAGTGATAGTAGTAGTGGTAGTAGTAGCAGCAGCAGTAGTAGTAGTAATAGTAGTAGTAGTAGTAGTAGTAGGGGTAGTAGTAGTAGTTGGAGTGATAGTAGTAGTAGTAGTAGTAGTAGTAGCAGTAATAGTGGTAGTAGTAGTAGCAACAGTAGTAATAGTAGTAGTAGTAGCAGTAGTAATAGTAGTAGTAGGGGTAGTAGTAGTAATAATAGTAGTAGTGGTGGTAGTAGTAGTAGTAATAGTAGTAATAATAATAGTAGTAGTGGTGGTGGTAGTAGTAGCAGTAGTTGGAGTGATAGTAGTAGTGGTAGTAGTAGCAGCAGCAGTAGTCCTGTCCTCAGCTGTGCTAACGTCACCGCTGTCATTGTGGTAACAACAACATCTTGTGTAGTGGTGGTTTTATTTATGCAATTGTTGTTTTGTTTGGTTATATCGTTTTCATTCCAGGCAGGAATCATACAAACTTTAACAAAAGGAAGAGATACCACTAGTTGTGTTTTGTAGTGTCCTTGTCGAGAAATGTTTAATTGGTTTCATTTACTGGACTACTGGACTTGGGTTATGTGTTGATAGCATACATCCTGGTGAGAATATCTACAACTGACACCCAAATAGTCAGCTGTTGCGTGGGGACTGCAAATAGTCAGCCGTTGCGTGGGGACTCCAAATAGTCAGCCGTTGCGTGGGGACTCCAAATAGTCAGCTGTTGCGTGGGGACTCCAAATAGTCAGCCGTTGCGTGGGGACTCCAAATAGTCAGCCGTTGCGTGGGGACTCCAAATAGTCAGCTGTTGCGCGGGGACTCCAAATAGTCAGCCGTTGCGTGGGGACTCCAAATAGACAGCTGTTGCGTGGGGACTCCAAATAGAAACACTGGTTTTGGTCGAGTGTCGATTGTTTAGATCGAGATTTAGCCGGCATTTTAATGAAATAGACTACAAACAAAATAACAAGCATATTATACAACTACATACACACTTATCCTGCCCACAACGTCTTCAGTATTGGACGGTTCTAAATTCAGAGTAAAAAGACTTCTTCTCAGGTTTTACATAAAAAACACCACAATATAAGATATATACCTTTCAATGAACATGCATCATGTTTTATAAGATACACCTTTTGAGCTCTGACTTAAAGAATATGCTGGTTAGCGCTGAAAACGTTTCTCAATCATCCCACATACACGCGTGGTTTTCACCAAATCTATACAGCAATGTAATATGAGTGAGTGAGTGAGTGGGTGGGTGGGTGAGTGAGTGAGTGAGTGAGTGAGTGAGTGAGTGAGTGAGTGAGTGAGTGAGTGAGTGAGTGAGTGAGTGAGTGAGTGAGTGAGTGAGTGAGTGAGTGAGTGAGTGAGTGAGTGAGTGAGTGAGTATGATTTTACGCCGCTTTTGGTAATAATCTGGAGACACCATAAATGAGCTTCACTAATTGTACCCATTGGGGGAATCGAACCCGGGTCTTCAATTTGACGAAAGGACGATTTATCCACGAGGCTACTACATCGCCATGTAATGTGACCGATGTGACTTGCTGGCTCACTTTCATCATCACTGATTATTTGTTAGCGCAAAATTGTAGCTGTATTGCGGCGGCCTGTAATAGTCTGGACCAGACAATCCAGTGATCAACAACCAGGTAGGGAAGAGATTGACATTATGAGCATCAATCAATGAAACTGGGATACGATGGCATGCATCAATCAGTGAAACTGGGATACGATGGCATGCATCAATCAGTGAAACTGGGATACGATGGCATGCATCAATCAGTGAAACTGGGATACGATGGCATGCATCAATCAGTGAAACTGGGATACGATGGCATGCATCAATCAGTGAAACTGGGATACGATGGCATGCATCAATCAAGTCAGCAATCCTGACAACTGGATACCGTTAGTCGGTTGTAACAATTTCCATTCTATTCAAAATAACTCGCCAGACCTCTGTCATTGCTTTAATATGGAGAAGTGGTAGTCTGTCTCTCAGTCCTTGAATCACATTATTTTCCTTTCCGACGATCCCTTCTGCAATGGTAAAGCCTTTAATGAAGCAGGTCTAGATGTCCTCAGGTTCTGGATCTCACTGGGGCCCCTTTTCAATTTGAAAAGAATTATTTGTTTTAAAAAACGTTTATATTTAAAACTAAAACTAAAGATTCAATGAACAATATGATCAATCACAAAACACACACACACACACACACACACACACACACACACACACACACACAGAGAGAGAGAGACAGACACACACAGACAGACACACACAGACACCAAACACCCCTACCCCCACCCCCACACCAACCCCTCTCTGGATCCGCCCATGCTTTTCCTATCAGCTTTCCTAGTGCTTCCGCGTATAAACAGGATACATTTGCAAGCAGGGCAGGTTAACCAGTCTGTCTACGTAGGCTGGGTCAAATCTATACATAGCCAGAGGATTAATCCTCCGCTGTTCGAGACACTGTCGGAAGGTGCCGGAAACACCCGAGCGGTTCATACAGTTGATTTATATTTAGACTGGTTTTTCATCTGTGTTTTGAAGATTGTGCGCTGATATACAGATCCCAGTCAGCGAGCCGTGGGTTAATCTTCGTTGAGTTGTAGTCCTTCGTTTACATTTGCTGGCTCGACTTGGTGTAACTGAAGTACACAGGAGAGGTAGCAACAAGCTGATCCTAAATATTTTGTTATGTACGTCCCTGCCACAACTGTAGCAGCAAATCTATATGATTCCATCATGACTTCAGTAAATACTGGATTAATATTGGTTAATGTAAGTCATTCAGAGGTAAATAATCACGTTATATACCTCTGATTCTTCCAAACAGTACGTATTTTTAAAAAAAATATCTGAATAACACAGTTATGGTAAAATGGAGATAAACATACTGTTTTGGAAACTCAGAGGTATAAAACGAAATTATAATAGCTCTAAATTTGATTTCTCAGGTTTTAAATATAAAAAATAGAGCATTATAATTATTATATCACGATATGATATTTGTATACCGCCAATATCCAGCTCAGCCCAGATGCTCAAGGCGCTTTGTTTTTTCCTCGATCATAGGATGTCAATCTCAACGGCACTTTTCAATCTCACCTCCCTGGTGCTAGTCAACTCTTGCAGCCATTTAGGTGCACCATATATGTGGTTTTCGTTATATACCTCTTATTTTCCAACACAGCATGTTTATCTCCTGCTTATGCAACGCAATATGGTAAGCACATCGAAAGGCTGACGTAAGGTCAGTCTGTCCTGATTTCACAATGAGCGAGTTTCGTTTGCAAACAAGAGACCACGTGATATGGAAATTATCCCGTAACAGTTAAGCTGCGTCATCAGTGCGCCGGAGCGAGGCTCACAGTATAGCGCTGGTTAACCATGTCACGTGACAAGTCAAGTCAGCCGTCGGATTAATCTTCTGCGTGCGTGTATATATAGCGCAGCCACAACACGTGGGTGATAGACGCGATTGGCGGGGGACATGTACACACGCGGATCACAAGCAGGATACGGTGGGTAACATTTATACATATGGAATCTGGGGAAGAATTGTATTATGCTGTTTACCGGGGGAAAGTCAATCCCATTCTATCGTGTCTTATGCAGGTTGGGGAACCCTAACGATCGGCCTATAATAGGCCAAACGGGATATTATAGGCTGTTATAATTATAATATTTATCAAATTAATTTGAAGTGGTGCAATTCCGCATGAGGATATTAACATCACTCAAGTTTTGATGTCCTAAGGTTTTCATTCAAACCTTTTTTGACCATTTCATCACATAATAAAGGAGTTTGGAAATTGCTAATTAAATATAAGTATCAGTTTTAGTTTTCAAAAGTAAATCTATGCAAAATTGTGTTCTTAATGAAAGTCATTCAGTTTAAGTTTTCAAAAGGAAAATCTATGCAAAATTGTGTTCTTAATGAAACATATTTTCCTGAACATGATATTATTTTAATTTTGTCCAAAAACTTATTTTTTTCAAGCTGAGGAGGTCCATTAACTGTTCATCTCTATGATCATATAAAAACCATTTCGTGCAGAAATCTAGTAATCTAGATTTGCCACATTTTCTAGACTTGCGTGGGCTGTTTGGTTATATTTGTTTAAAGGTCTGTAATGCAGACTGTCATGTTGGCTAAATTACAATTCATGCATACATCAGAGCGAGTCACACGGATTCGGCGTTACAGCAGGTTTCCCAGCTACGTTTACTCGTCATAACATGCCACCTGATGGATAAACATGTCAGATTCAGTGACTGCTTGTCTGTCTTCTTCCGACGGCGTGAATAGTCACTCATAGTATCCATCACTTGCTTGTGTGGTCCAGACATTCGCTCGTCACGCCGAAGACCCGGGTTCGATTCCCCACATGGGTACAATGTGGTGTGTCCCACCGTGATATTGCTGAAATATTGCTAAAAGCGGCGTAAAACCATACTCACTCTGTCCATATCACTACCACAGAATACAATTACCTGTTTCATTTTGATTCACACTGTATATAATTTCATGTCGTTTGTACGGATCTCCTTCGTGGGATTTTGGGACGCTAACCATGTTCATATTTAGGGAGAGAGACAGTTGTGTAGGTGTCCTCCCACTTCACCTGATTTGTACCCGTTAGGTACAGAAAATTAATTAGGTGATGTGGGTATGTCATTCCTGGTTGATTACTCAGGATTAGGTGAAGTGGGTATGGGTCAGTCCATATATTGTGATCAGAGGGGGTTTAGCAACCAATTGGATAAAAAAATGACAAAACTCAGTGATAGAATTAATGAATATATTTTATATATGTTATATATATTTTATATATTTAGTTGATAAATTAACATTTTACGATACATGCATGTATGTATGACATGCGCAGTAATAAATTAATACATGTAATACAGTGGACTCTGTATAATCCGACATCTGAATTATCCGACAATCTGTGAATTCCGACATATTTTTTGGGTCCCGGCAGCATTCTTCTATATTATCATCATTTAAACATTGAATTATCCGACATCTGTACATTCCGAATTCCGACACCATTTTCTGGTCCCAATGACACTATTAATCTGTACAATCCGACAGCCTCTCCATATATTGGACTAAAGTAGCCGATCAACCTGTTAATGGTCAGTTGACAATTAACATCCTGTTACTGGTAATCTCTTTGGTCCCAGCACTTGCTAATTGGGAGGTACTTAGCAGTGTGAGAACGTCTGTATCTTTGTTTTTACAAGCTGAGTGGCCAGTGTGAGGACCTAGGATGAATGGGCTTTTTCATGAAAGTGTGAATATGATTGTGATAGTAGTACATGTATGTATATTTTATTTTATTTACTTATGGTTTTGGCTATGCATGGGTCAGTCAGGATATTGGTAATGTCAAGTATTTTATGTTTCTCTTTAAACAAAGACTGACCGATAATTTAAAGCAATCCTGGTATTCTTCCATTGAAAATTCACATAAAACTGTTTATTATTGTCAGTATAAGACTCTGTTAGATGTAGAAAAATACTTAAATTGTAATATTTATTTAAATTTGAGATCTGCCCTTTCAAAATTTAGATGCGGAAACTTTAATCCAGCAATAGAGACTGGGAGATATGAAAATATTGCTTCTAATGAATGATTTTGTTTATTTTGTAAATCCAAAGGTATTAATGTTGTTGAAGATGAGTGGCATATTTTGTATATTTGTGAATGTTTCTCTGATATTCGAGGGAAATATATTGGAAATATTTAAGTTAGCCGCCGACGATAAACAACTTTATCCATATTATGCATTCTGCAAATGTCGATATGATTAAGAATGTTTCTTTATTCTTATATAATGTACAAATTAGAATGACGAGCAGAACATTTTTATAAATCATTGTGTACCATTCATGTGATGTGTGATCACGCATTTGACTGTATTATGGACCAGTGGCCTTTTACTGAATAAAACTGTCTGTCTGTCTGTATGTATATTGTACTGAAGATAATAAATACAATAATATACATGTACATGTAAATACAGAATTTGTTTTTTTCCTTTATTTACCAAGAAAATAACCATTATGCATTAATTTCATGATATAAGCCAGTTACAATGTATGGTACTGATTGAAAAGTATTCAAGCATGGAAACATTGAATTATCCTACGCTCTGTATAATCTGACATTTTTTCCCGGTCCCAGTGAGTGTCGCATAATACAGAGTCCACTGTACGTGTATACATATCATCACTCGTTTATTACTCGGTGGTACATGAGTATAACAAAGGAGTACATACAAAAGGTACAACAACATGACTAAATGATACATGAATTAAAGTGTTAATCTGTTAACATCTTAATTAACTTGGATACAGTTTTAAGGGTAGATATTTTACTAGAAAAACCTTGACGGGACTTGGACAAATTTGGCCAGAAACTATAAGGTTCTTTTAACAACGATTTAGGCGTGTCTGTTAAATAATTACATGTACATTTAAACAAATAGTGAAACTCATCTCCAATCAAATGTGTATCACACAAGTTACAAAATCTGTGTTCTTTGGGAGTATTTTACCATCTCCCAGTTTCTATGAGAAGTTTATGGTTGCATGTTCTAAATTTTAGGTTTATAAATATCATCAGAGAGAAGTAGGTATTGTTCAAATTTGGGAGAGCGCTTCAGAACTTTATAATATATTCCTTTAGATGTATTTGCATGTTGCTGATTGTAAAAATTGGTCATGGTCTTCTAAAATTGATTCCACATTTGAAATGATCCAAGAATTTGAGTATAGATGACGGTTATCAATAACATTAGGCAATCAGCACTTACAGAGAATATGTTTAATATGACAGCCAGACATAGTTATTTGATGTTTTGTTTTGTTTAGCAATATATCGGTATTTTCGGGTGTTTCAAAATATTGTTAACACTGATTTATTTTTTAAACAGTTCTCTCAACGAGTTAAAGATTGTAACATCCAGTGTATATTTTCTATGTTAAATGAACATATTATATTCATGTGTCAAAAGTACGTTTGATATGGAATCATACTTGTCAACATTATATAACAAAGATTTAAGAAGATTTTTTTATCACTTTTAAGATTCGGTGAATTAAATATTATGAAGAATACAGGCAGAAGAAATAATATCCCAAGATAATTAAGATTTTGTCCATTTTGTAAGAACATTTTAGAAGATGAGGTTCATTTTATGTTTATTTGCCCACAATATGATGATTTAAGAACAGGATACATGTTAAATATTGACTGTAAAGATAGAAACTCTCTCATTCGCCTTCTTCAAAATGAAAATAGCAATTATTTATATATGTATGCAATTTATATTAAGGAAGCGTTTATGCGACGTAGCGCATTATTATTGTGAATATATAAAAATATGTTCCAGTTATTGTGCACATCATACCTTTTGTATTGTAATATATATTGTTCATGGGCCTGTGGCCTTTCTACTGAATAAAGTTATATATATTTATATATCGGTATTACTAATCCATCAAATGCAGAAAGGTCTATATGAAGCCGGGTCCATACGATTTCCTGTTTTCTAATAGATAGGTTTAATAGTACCAGTTAGCCATGCTTCAGGCAAAATTCTGGTCTGAAGTACAGCGTTACAATAATCAACATAAAAAGGTAGCAGTTGTGGTAAGGCTGAATTAATGGAGAACGGGGAGAAGGACATCCCCATTTGGGAACTTTGCCTGCTCCAGTGAGACTCCACGGTTCAGTGGTTACAGATATTAGGCGTTCTGGGCTCTCTGCTAATTAGGTGATGTGGGAGAAGGTGAGGCAGGAAAATTAGGTGATGTGGATATACTCCACTACAGAAGGACGTGTAGTGTAATAGTGTGTCAACTGTGTTTGACAGACACCCAGACGGGCTTGTAGTGTAACAGTGTGTCAACTGTGTTTGACAGACACCCAGAAGGACTTGTAGTGTAACAGTGTGTCAACTGTGTTTGACAGACACCTAGAAGGACTTGTAGTGTAACAGTGTGTCAACTGTGTATGACAGACACCCAGAAGGACTTGTAGTGTAACAGTGTGTCAACTGTGTTTGACAGACACCTAGAAGGACTTGTAGTGTAACAGCGTGTCAACTGTGTATGACAGACACCTAGAAGGACTTGTAGTGTAACAGCGTGTCAACTGTGTATGACAGACACCCAGAAGGACTTGTAGTGTAACAGTGTGTCAACTGTGTATGACAGACACCTAGAAGGACTTGTAGTGTAACAGCGTGTCAACTGTGTATGACAGACACCTAGAAGGACTTGTAGTGTAACAGCGTGTCAACTGTGTATGACAGACACCCAGACGGGCTTGTAGTGTAACAGCGTGTCAACTGTGTATGACAGACACCTAGAAGGACTTGTAGTGTAACAGCGTGTCAACTGTGTATGACAGACACCCAGAAGGACTTGTAGTGTGACAGTGTGTCAACTGTGTTTGACAGACACCCAGACGGGCTTGTAGTGTAACAGTGTGTCAACTGTGTATGACAGACACCCAGACGGGCTTGTAGTGTAACAGCGTGTCAACTGTGTATGACAGACACCTAGAAGGACTTGTAGTGTAATAGTGTGTCAACTGTGTATGACAGACACCTAGAACGGCTTCTAATGTAACAGTGTGTCAACTGTGTATGACAGACACCTAGAAGGACTTGTAGTGTAACGATGTGTCAACTGTGTATGCCAGACACCGAGAAAGACTTGTAGTGTAACGATTTGTCAACTGTTTATAACAGCCACCTAGAAAGACTTGTAGTGTAACGATGTGTCAACTGTGTATGACAGGCACCCAGGAGGACTTGTAGTGTAACAGTGTGTCAACTGTGTATGACAGGCACCCAGGAGGACTTGTAGTGTAACAGTGTGTCAACTGTGTATGACAGGCACCTAGAAGGACTTGTAGTGTAACGATGTGTCAACTGCGTATGGCAGACACCTAGAAGGACTTGTAGTGTAACGATGGGTCAACTGTGTATGGCAGATACCCAGAAGAGCTTGTAGTGTAACAGTGTGTCAACTGTGTATGACAGACACCTAGAAGGACTTGTAGTGTAATAGTATGTCAACTGTGTATGACAGACACCCAGAACGGCTTCTAATGTAACAGTGTGTCAACTGTGTATGACAGACACCTAGAAGGACTTGTAGTGTAACGATGTGTCAACTGTGTATGCCAGACACCGAGAAAGACTTGTAGTGTAACGATTTGTCAACTGTTATAACAGACACCTAGAAAGACTTGTAGTGTAACGATGTGTCAACTGTGTATGACAGGCACCCAGGAGGACTTGTAGTGTAACAGTGTGTCAACTGTGTATGACAGGCACCCAGGAGGACTTGTAGTGTAACAGTGTGTCAACTGTGTATGACAGGCACCTAGAAGGACTTGTAGTGTAACGATGTGTCAACTGCGTATGGCAGACACCTAGAAGGACTTGTAGTGTAACGATGTGTCAACTGTGTATGGCAGGCACCCAGGAGGACTTGTAGTGTAACAGCGTGTCAACTGTGTATGACAGACACCTAGAAAGACTTGTAGTGTAACGATGTGTCAACTGTGTATGACAGACACCTAGAAGGACTTGTAGTGTAACGATGTGTCAACTGCGTATGGCAGACACCTAGAAAGACTTGTAGTGTAATGATGTGTCAACTGTGTATGACAGACACCTAGAAGGACTTGTAGTGTAACGATGTGTCAACTGTGTATGACAGGCACCCAGGAGGACTTGTAGTGTAACAGTGTGTCAACTGTGTATGACAGACACCTAGAAGGACTTGTAGTGTAACGATGTGTCAACTGCGTATGGCAGACACCTAGAAGGACTTGTAGTGTAACGATGTGTCAACTGTGTATGACAGGCACCCAGGAGGACTTGTAGCGTAACGATGTGTCAACTGTGTATCACAGGCACCCAGAAGGACTTGTAGTGTAACGATGTGTCAACTGTGTATGACAGGTGTTCAGCACTTGTACTGTAACTGAGTGTTAACTTTGTGTGACGGGCGCCCTATAGTACAGATAGTGTTACAATGTGTAAACCATGTATAAAAGGTACTAAAAAGCCAGAAAGTGTCAGATTGTGTAAGGTGTGTATTAATATGTGTACATATATATTATAGCCGCCTGGAAGGACTCCTGGTTTGGACTATATCATGGATGTGATCCTTTCAAGATGCACCTCAAAGAAGAAAGCTGTGCGGTGGGAATGAGGTGATGTCATGGCAAGCCCACCAGCAGCAGATGGATGAAGATCCACCTGACATCAGGACAGTTGGTGGCTGATATTCATGGGGACTGGTCACAGTGGCTGGACCATGCAGGTAACACGGGTACAGCTGCACTTACCCGGGTAAACAGAGTAACGTGAGTCATCTGTGTCCTGGGTGGTCGTCCTGTTTGATTGATCAGATGCAAACGTTCACCTTCTGATGGAGCGCAGGTGCAGTGGTGATTTGTTTTGATCAGAGATCCATGACAATGCATATCCCGGGAGCATATAATTTTGTGATAAAAGTACATAATTGTCTGAAGGCTGGACCTGACATTATTCCGGACATTGTAACAACATGACTCAATGACAGAGTACAGAAATGCTATCCGAATCTGCAGCTGCTACTTAACATATGCTAACATTCCCCCCACACCAGGACACCTGGATAGTTCTTGGAACAGGTACATACCCATCTCCCGGGACTCATGGATAGTTCTTGGAACAGGTACATACCCATCACCCAGGACACATGGATAGTTCTTGGAACAGGTACATCCCCATCACCCAGGACACATGGATAGTTCTTGGAACAGGTAAATACCCATCACCCAGGACACATGGATAGTTCTTGGAACAGGTACATCCCCATCACCCAGGACACATGGATAGTTCTTGGAACAGGTGAGGTGAGGTGAAATTGGGTTTAACGTCGTGCTTGAGAATATTTCGCTCATATGACGACGTGCATGCGTGTGTATGTGTATGTGCGGCAGCTTGTACTAGCCCAGACTGAAGCTGGTTTTATAGTGCTAGCCCACTGAGATACCATGCCGCAGTGAAGCATGAATACCCCACTCAGACACATTATACTGACTCCGAGCTGACCAGTCCTTGTTGTACCCATTAATGCCGAACGCCAGGCAGGGACCAACAAGTACCATATTTTAACGTCTTTTGGTATGACGCGGCCGGGGATCGAACCCGCGACCTACCGCTCTCCGGGCGGATGCTCTAACCACTACACCACGGAGGCGGTCTCTTGGAACAGGTACAAACCCATCACCCAGGACACCTGGATAGTTCTTGGAACAGGTACATACCCATCACCCAGGGCACCTGGATAGTTCTTGGAACAGGTACATACCCATCTCCCGGGACACATGGATAGTTCTTGGAACAGGCATATATTCATCAACCAGGACACCTGGATAGTTCTTGGAAAAGGTACATACCTATCACCCAGGACACATGGATAGTTCTTGGAACAGGTACATACCCATCACCCAGGGCACCTGGATAGTTCTTGGAACAGGTACATACCCATCCCACAGGATCACTGGATGGTTCTTGGAACAGGTACATGCCAATCACCCAGAACACTTGGATGAATACTGTAACAGGTACATGCCCATCACCCATGACACCTGAGTGGATACTGTAACAGGTACACACTCAATAACATGACATTGAACCTTTAGCCATTCACCATGAATGCGTTCGATGGCCAAGCATGGGTATACATCAAACATTTCCAGCAAAGTTACTGATGCATAGTGAATGTTCAGATATTTATAGTCATTTATGACTGGGTTTAACTTCCATGTTAAACGACAGTGTCTGACTGATTCTGATATTGCATAATGTTTTCTAGTTGTTTCTAATGATTAATATTACTTTATAGTCAAGGAATGTCAAAATATAAGCTTTAGGAAGGGACCAGTGGCATCCTCGGGGGAGGAGAGTTGAGCCAGTACTATTTGTGATTACTGAATTATGCTGAAAATATGTTGTTTAACTGATATTGCCGTGTTGGTGGGAACATAAATAACTTTGATATTTTACAAAGTAAGGGCGGAACACAAGAACAAGGCTGTTGTTTATTTAGTCAAGAGGCCTAAAACAATTTACTGCCGATGTCAGATCGGTTCTGCTTTGTCCTTCCTCCACCCTCTACTGTACACTTTGGCCGTGACCTTGAGATTTCAACCTTGAACTTTTAAAACTTGCCATGGTGTGAATGACAATCATACAATTATATTTAGTTAAACTAAAGTCGAGTCTGCTATAGGCGTGGTCGTTGTGTTACAACATATTGGTCAGGTCTCATGTGGTATTACAGGGTAGTGTGTTGAAGTTTCAGACATAGAGTACAACCAGAAATTATTGATAATTTAAAGATTGTAATTTTTTTATTTTGTTCACTCATTACTCACGTATTAAATGTGAATATTAGCCGAATATAACTCCAGATTCAAAGACAGGTGAACAGTTAGTATTTTGTCAAGTCACCATGGGCAGCAATGCAGGCTTCAATGCGGCGGGGCACACTACTGATCAAAGACGTTAGAAAGTCGTGGTCCATGCTGTCCCAATATCGGACCACCTCTTCTTTCATTTCAGCAATATTTGTCAGATTTTTCTTATTGACACTTTCCTTCATAAGTCCCCAAACATTTTCTATTGGATTTAGGTCAGGGCTATAGCTTGGCCAATCTAACACAGATATGCCACCCCACTCGTTTAATGTTGGACTGTACTTTGGGCGCTGATACAAAGGTTTTTCAGTTTGTTTGGTCCAGAATTTCAGTGTATTAGGAAACAGCCACACAGAACTTTCATCTGAGAAAATCACATTGTCCCAGTTAAAATTACTATGCTGTAAGCACCAGTTCAACCTTCGTTTCTTTTGTTCAGGTTTCATGATCGGTGATGCAATTCCTCGACTTTTCTGCCAACCCATTGCATGCAGCTCAGTTCTAATTGTCTCCTTATAGACAGCCACAGTTCCTCTATCAATTATATCCAGCCTTAAGTTTTCTAAACTCCTTCGTTTGTTTTTAGAAACAAGAATACCAAGCCGCCTCCTGTCACTGACAGTCAATTTTCTGGGCCTACCTGCGCCTCCCTGGTGCTCAATGCCAGATCCATTTGCAATATTTTTCAAAACACGATAAACAGTGGACAAAGGTATGCCTGTTCTACTTGAAATCACGTTAGCTGATCTGATGTCCTTGTTATTATACTCTAAAATCAACTTCCTCTTCTCTAAATCATCCATACTGAGGATCACTGAAAATGTCGTCTGCTGGCAAGTAAACAAAGGGGGATAACTCTTCACAAACTAATGAAAAAGGATTAACGGAGTTGTCTCTCTTGAATGAAACCAAGCACTTGATAGCTGGTCAAGGTTGTTTATACCAGAAATCCATTTAAACATATTCCTAAAATTCTCAATAATTTCTGGTCATACTATACGTGTACACACCTGTGATTAATGTGTCCTACGGGAAGTTCGATGTTACCACAGAAGATACGCGATGATAAAACGCGAGTGTTGGGGGAATTACCTCGCTTGGCAAGAGGGTCACCATACCAACCCACACACAGCACAAGACCCTGACGAGGGGTTTATTACACAGTCACAGGATTATCTGTGACTCTGTGCCGTCCCTATATTTGTGCCTATTCCACCTATGATAGATAAACGCATTTACTGATGATAAGGTGCCCACTGTGAACCTAAGTTACTCCATCTTGAAAAGATCATACAACAATATCGATAGACAGCGGTGTTGATAGGTGACGTTTACTGTGAGTTAGATTAGTTTATCTCTATCTGCCGACACAGTACACTGCCGACACTGGCCTCTGACATTCGTTATCAATGTGACCCTTGGCAGCTTGGAGACTGTGAAACGTGGTCAGTTAGCGTGTACATTTCCAGTTTTCAATAACATATATCGTCATAAAACATTTTATAAGTTTGTGCGTTTCCCCTATATTAATAGTACCCCCTGTTCTTTTAAAATTTCGTCCCGGAATTCGTATAAATAAATTACGCCGTGCATATTTGCATTACGAGAGATGGGTAATTGAAATAGCTGGCAGTGTGCCTGCAGGTGTCACAGAGACAACTGGCAGCATGTACCCATGATGATTAATTAAAACATATGCACCAAATAGCCTCTTTAAAATGGGGCGCAGACACCAGGCTACAAAATGGTAATGGAAATGAAGAAGGTAAGGCGAATGCCTTAGCTAGATAAACATCTGTGATGGCAAGTAACCGCATATCGACATATAGTCGAGGACGAATACAACCTACTGTTTGCAGATTGGTGATGTTCACTGGGGCCTCTATGTTGTACTGAGTGATACATTCGGTCAGTTTGGTATGAAAAGGAATCTTGGACCTTTGTTTTTCCTATTAGATAGTACTGGACTGTTGATATGTTTGACGAAATATCTTGATAGGAAAGCGCAGTAAAAATGAAACGATGAAAACTGACTGTAATGTAAGGACAGTGCCCATGGCATGGGCCAAGGTAACTTCCATCGACTGTAAGACCGCAAAAGGGTTGTGGTGGTGACGTTATATTTGAAATAAGGGAGATGAACCTCAGCCTTGACCCTAGTGATTTGGGTGAAATTCTTATGCATTCTTATGCCGACGCTTTCTTGATGCATGTTCCACAAGGACAAATCTCAAAAGAAAAATACTTAAGTAAGAAAGGAACACTGTAATATTCTGAAAATATGAACAAAACAAAGAAAATGTAGACATTGTTTCTTTCTCTTTCTTCATTTCCCATCTACATACTCTATTGAAAGTGAAAGATCAAAGGCGCCGACAGTACTTTATCAGACGATAATGTGCACTTTTTGCATTACGTCACAATATAATGCCATTATAGTCTGCCCCTAACATCACTGGTGGAAACATTACGTTTATGTTTTCCGACGTTTAAAATGTCTCAATTCGACTCACAAGTTTTCAGGGACACGGTAACGTTTGCAATGTTTACGTTCCCACAATGCAATCGTGGAATGTCGCTTGACTACTCAGCTTCATCTGGATGTACTGATCTAAACTTAAGTTGATAGTAGAAGTGCAACGTTCATATTGCCCCATATGGTTTACGTTAATCACAGATGTAATTAAAATAATTTAGAGAAGTTATTTAATCAGAACGTTACCCGTCATCAAACTGTTTATCATTTGTTCTTTTCTGGTAACGTTCGTCTTAACGTAGGGGGCAGTCATATCAATAGAACAGCGCTCCAGTTAGCCCTGTGCGAGGATTCTTAATTTAGGTCACCGACACCATCGTTTGTTTTCTGCCTTAGATTAATCGTAGTTATCCTTAGAAAGTATTACATTTGGCATCTTAGAAAAGAAATACAGTTCACTCTACCACCAGGTATAGTGTAATAAAGCACACTTTCGCCCTGAACTATTATAACGTTAAAGCACTCGGACGCTGGTAGAGCGAACTGTATTTCTTAAACAGCATAATAAAATCAAACAGAACTGAAGTAATCAATCATGAAAAGTATCTGAAAAACACGCCAAAGTATGCCACGTTCAACATAAACCTGAAGGGAATACCAAGGGAAATAAAATTTAGTTAAGGTACGATAGATTAAACTTAAGACATAGTAGCATAACGGTTTTAACACAGTAGAAGAAAATGAAGTGTTTATACCTGGGTGAATTTACTAGACAGCCATCGAATGATTTGTGACGGTCGTCCATATTATATACCTATTCCATTTACTGATTAAACTGACGATAACCTTGTCATTGTGAACTTGCGATAATATCTTTTAGTTTCACCGAATGGATGGCCAGGTGATATATACATACAATACAGATAAACGTACTGCACCTTGGTTCTATTAGCTTTAGAGATATCCCACTTTCATCCAGTGTAAAAAACCTAGGTGTTTATCTTGATCCTTGTCTCACCATGGAGCAACATGTGAACCATCTCTGTAAGGTAGGCTACTTCCATCTCCACTCTATTGGTAACATCCGCCATCTTGTAACCACAGATGCTGCTAAAGCTCTCACTCAGTCACTTGTTCTCTCCAGGATTGACTATTGCAATAGCCTACTGTTTGGAATCTCCAATGATCTTCTCTTCAGACTTCAAAAACTTCAAAATGGTGCCGCCAGAGTTGTCTCTAAAACATCCAGATGGACTCACATAACCCCAATCCTCCAGAGTCTGCATTGGCTGCCGGTTGAAGCCAGAATTCATTTCAAGATCTGCACTCTTGTTTTCCGCTGCAAACACGGACTAGCTCCTCCATACCTCTCTGAGATGTTGTCAACATATATGCCTGCCCGTTCTCTCCGCTCCCAGAATCAACATCTTCTCTCAGTTCCCCAAGTTCGTCTCAAACACTTTGGCCATAGGTCATTCAAATTTGCAGCACCAACCCTATGGAACAGTCTTCCTAGTCCCATAAAAAAATGCTTCATCCTTAGAAGCATTCAAATCGGGACTCAAAACCTTCCTCTTCAAAAAAGTCTACAACCTATAACTGCGAAATATTCTCATGGTCATTTTGATGAATTGTCATATCTTCCTCTTGAACTCTAGTGACTCTTTTTCTATGTAGCGCTTTGAGCATGCTCTGGATGGACTATGGCGCATAAGAAATATCCATTTATTATTATTATTATTATTATTAGAGATATTGGTCCCGGATTATGTCCGATGCTCGTTATCAGTGTGACCCTTGGCATTTTTTTAAATAGTGGAACGTGGTCACTTGTCTGTGATATTTCCAGTTTTCAATGACACATACCTTCATGACATATTTGTTTAACTTTGCCCGTTTCCTCCATGTTAATCTATACGTGGCACATGCGTGATTTGACCAACGTGGAATACAAACAGCCGTAAAGGAAGATAAACCTATTGCAACATGGATCTATCAGCTTAACTCCAGCTAACCATCGCACTACGAGATAACGGTCTTGGATTATGTCCGATGCTTATTATCAACCTTGACCCTGGCCATGTTTAAGATAGCAGTAGGTTAGTCTATCATATTTACAATTTCCAATCGGACATATCGTAAAGCAGATTTGTAAAACTTTGTTCATTTTCCCCATGACAATGATATTACAACAGTAATCAATATATTTATGTGACGTCTCACAGCATACAAGAACAATGCTGAAACATATACTAAATAATACTTAATGAAAATTCAACTGAATTATTGGATAGATATGAGAAATGAAAGTTTAACGAAACAGCATGTTTATTGCC